TAGTCATTGTGAGAAAAACCTATACACTGGATAGGTGAAGTGAAGAAAAAGTGTCATTGGCCACAATTCTGTTCTTAACATTATATTGTGTGACCTTTTCTTCTCTACACCTATCCAGTGTATAGGTTTTTCTCATAATGACTACAAAACACATTCACACTAATAGCGTGTATGTTTTATTTGTGAAATTTTAAGCTACAAGAGTTCATACTTAGCTCACAGAGAGAGTAATCCAATACTAAGCTGATTACCTAGACTAAAATTACCTTGTAGGCCTATTTCATAAAATTACAAATTAAAAAAAATATTTACAGTTTTACATATTCCTTTTGTGTGAAATGGTTCCAGTGCTTTAACACTCTTGTATTTATAATCACAAATTAGTACTAATAAGTTGCTTTCAAGACATTTATATAATACTACTGTGTTAGACAGGTGAGAAAAATGCTAATACTGACCAAAAGTTTTACTTTGTAATTTAGTAAGTTTTTTATTTATTTTATTTTTTTTTCCATCAAAACTTGCAGAAATACTAGATGTCATAACTATATTTAGTGATTAGAAATGGTTACATGTCTTTCTAGCAATTTAAAATTGCATAAGGTACATTGTTTGTTTGGAAAATAATTTAATTTATTTTTAGGAAACCAAATAATGTCAGGCCATTTTGTTTATTAAGATAGATAGTAATAGTTTTTATTTTTATATTTTGTACATTTGTAAAGCAGCAGTTGTTTTTTCACATAAGATCATAATTTTATGAAAATTCTCAAATTGGAAAACTTACAAAAGGAATTATTATTATAATGCAATGTATTTTATTTGTTAGGATGCACAACTTTACAGAAGTTGGCCAGGACAGTAACTTACTACTTATACACTATTCTAGGCCTAGTTTATGATTAATTAGAATATCATTATATAAATGTTTATTTTTTTTCATGATATCAAGACACACTGTAGTGTGTTATTAATAGGAGTGGTAGTTTAGCAATTTTCCACCTTCTGTATCTCGGACTGTGGTAATCAAAACTATCACATATTTTCAGTGGATGTGCACTACTAGACTCTTACTTCAAATACCAAATTTCAAGGCAATCTGTTAAGAAATAACTGAGATATAATATTTACAATTTTGATTGAGTTTCTTCCTATTTTTTTCTTTGTTCCAAAAGTACGAAAACTTGATTTGATAGAAAAACGTACTTTTATGGATTTTTTTTCAAATTTGGTACTCTGATAGATCTTTTCAACCTACAATTAGTAGTCTCATCTGGTGTAAATATAAGCCACGTATGCAAAGTTATTCAAGAAAAACTGCTCAAATTTGACAAATTCTTTGCTCGCCTATGCAAAAAATTGCATGACCTATTGGTCTAACATTTTTACTTTAGGCTTCACCTAAGAATAAAAGAGGACCATTTTTAGTTTTTTGTCATTTGGATTAAAATTGACTGATTTAGAGCAGTAAAACTATAAGGTGAAAGGACGTGCAGATGTACAAGTATTGGTTAGGCCAATCAAACTCAAGTTTTCAAAAGAATCATATGGGTGGACAGTTATTATTTATTATTCATTGCTAACTTTTCAGCACAAATTTACTAACTTTTATGAAATTATCCTAACTAAAGAGCATTTAGCATCACATGATATTAGCTTAAGTAATTAGCATAAATAATGATATGGCTGTACTGATTGCATAGGGGTAGTGACAAAAAACTGTTAATCTAAATTCCATGGCATAACTATAAAGGAAGTTATTAACACTGTTTTAGAGAGGAAAAACTATCACCATTTATCTTAAAGAATTTGGTTGGTTCTGTAAAGTAAAGGTCTGTTCTGAATGATAGGATTGCATTCCTAAAACTAATGTGGATTACTATCGAGCATCAATTTCTTAGATCGAAAACACCTTAGGTGTGAAAAAGAGCTGTACAGTCTGATGAAGAGTGCTAGCTTGAGGTGTCATCTTTCTTTAAATAAAATATAAAAAAATCATGGTGATTGTTCAACCTATTATTTAATTCCAAAAAAGTTCAAGGTATTGGATATGCCAGTAATAATATTTTAATCAATCCAAAATAGTAAAATACTCCAAATTGAAAATATTAATTGATACTACATTCCATAAAAAATATGCTATACATGTGATGTTTTGTTTTAGAAAAAATATTGTAAGTTATTTATCTGTATGTAAATCATAAACATTTTTTTTTATGTAAGAAAATTTTAATTGAAGATTATTATTTAAATAAATATCTGAAAGTACAAGATAAAAGTCAATAATCAACAATGTCTAAAAAAAATGAATATGTATTAATTATTATTAAAATATTTGAATTATTCGGACAAACTGTGATTTAAACTATAATGGAAACTACTGTCTGATCTTTTTAGGTTCAGGGAAAATTGTTGTTGCCTTATACACATATAATGCTAGTGATGAAGGAGATCTCAGTTTTAAAAAAGGTGATCGTCTTGTAATACTAGATGAAAGGTAAGAACCAAATGCCTGAATGTCGTTGTGGAACTTTAATATAAAACTAACAGCTGTTTCTTATACAGTTTATCAGTACACTTAATATTATGTACTCTATATTAACCTCTATGGGTCTTCCTATGGTCACAGGTCAAACGCCATGTCATCACATTTGTAGACTCGCATTCAAAATTTTATTGAATTACTATTTTATGAACATATATCAATAAGTTTGGTATCAAATTGTATATTATAATTTAAATCTTAGTATGATCCATTAGTTAAATTCTTAATTTAAAAGTACGTATTAAAAAAAGAAATCCTAAATATCGATTTTTGTGTGTCACATGGTATATTGAATGCAGCATTGGTTCAAATTCGATTTTTGTGATGTCCAAATACAAAGTCTATAGTTTCTTAGAAACTTAAATTACCAGTATTGACCAGCTAGAATGTCAAATAAGAACCTCCTATGTTTTCTATTTGCTGAGATAGCGCTACATGTACTGAACTAACACAATGGCTCCCGCACAACTCTTTTCATTTTTGGAAGGACATGCTTACATATACTTATTTCTATCTATAACATATGAATAACCATTTGAAAGCTCAGAATGTCCCTCTGGTGGCTTTCTCAGTGTAATTGAAGTATTCAATGCCAAACTGGTTCTTTTAAAGCTTGGATTCGAAAAGGTGAGGTAAGATGAAACTTTAGTGAGCTTGAAATTTCATATTTTTTAGACCCAAATACAGCTTAGTTATAAAGTTTGATAAATTATAGTGGAATTCTATGGTATTGATGTAGTAATTTATGATTTTTGGTTGTTTCAAAATGTTATATATAAAACTTAAAATAAAATTATTTCATTTCACATCCTCCATGAACAAATTTTGATAGGACTTGGCAACCTACGGCAAGCAGAAAACTAGTTACAAGTTCATAACTAGAAGAGATAATTATTTTCTATAATTCTTTATTTATTGTTCTATGATTTAAGAACTTATTTATAAATAGTAATAGTTGAAATGTGAAATGTTGAAATTTTACAAAATACTAGTCCACTAAAACACAGCCAAGACAAGTCACTTTGAAAAGGCCTGTTTTATACTCTTGGATACGGTAACATCAGTGCACATGCACTGCATCATTGCAACTTCAATGATGTTAGCCAGGCATGGTTGAAAGGTCAATATAATAAATATATATAAATATATAACGTTATGAAATTTAAGCTATTTAGTCTAAACATTTGTGTTTTTGGGTTATAATTTGTAGTCATTCTAAAATGAAAAATGCATACTTTATATTTATTTTTTATTTTTTATCGAGGTTACAAAGTTAGTTAAATCGAACCAACCCATAAAGAGATACAGTGGTAGAAATAACTAAGTGGAAATAAAGTTCAACATACTTCACTGTCACCTTGTACCATTACCTATTTTATTGTTGTTTTTCTTATGTTTTGATAAACTTGTACCAGCTAACAAAACTGTAGATTATGCAGTTCTTCAACTATTAGTGCATTTATAAAAGCTTACTTTGTGCTGGACCTGTTTTATATTTATATATATAAACAGTTATGGTTGAAATTTTTCTTTTTTTTCATGTATTTTTGTTAATATATTTAAATTGATTAGGAAAAATTTTACTATTTTATTTTCTTTAGTGATAATGACTGGTGGCACGCTAAACACTTTACTAGTCAGCAGATGGGGTATATTCCACGAAACTATGTTGCTGCAGAAAAGAGCATGGAAACAGAAGAGTAAGTGAATCTTGATAAATGTATTTTCAAGTATTTTAATTGGAGGATCTGAATAATTTGTGACCTAGCCAGAAATGTTAAGAACCTAGTCTTTCATCTTTACATTACACTGTAAATTATAGAGGATAGGAATATCTTTGTTCCAAATGGCTCACACATTTTCTTGAAGAGACATATTATTCTTCATTTTTTGTTTCACCATTAATTTTATTAATATTAATTTTTTTATTGTGTATATGTATGAGTACTTTGCTTTACAGTCTTTGCATAGCAAGCTTTTGATCAGAGATTCTTAATACTAACACTGTCAGATCGTGAACTCTTAAATTATTTTAGTTTTATTTATCTTAGAACATTAATATCATAAACTATTTATACATTATTTACTTAAGTAAGTTGTTTAATTTTTATGTTAGCTGAATTGATATTTTGGCAATTTTTAACCTATAGCTTGTAAGAGTATTTTCTTTCTAATAGTTAATACATTTTTAGTACAAGTTATTTTACTTAAATAAAATGCAGTGTTGTTATTTATCTTCATGTAAAATATTGGCAGTAAATCTTGTAGTTAACCTACAGAAATTTCTGAAGAATCTGTCTCAATATAGCAATTTTACAGTTTCTGCTATAGCTTTTCTGTTGCATTAGTTCCTACGTTACCTGATAAAAATCACATATCCAATAGCAGAGCTAGTGGTAAACAATTACAGAAATGTCCTGAATCAAATCATATATTTGAACTCTACTTATTATGTTTAAGAACTAAGTGCTTTTAACTAAAGTTGAAAAAGCAAAATAATTTACAGAATATTTTTCACTACTGCTACTGTCTGTTTTATTGATATTGATTAAAAGCAGTTTAGATGGTGTGATGTGATTCATTTTAAATAGCTTGTGAGTTCTCAAGTGTGGTAAAAATTTCTGAATGTATTTTTTCTTTAGGTACTGTTTGTGACAGCTAATGTAAAGTTAAGAATGTCACAATTTTGACATTTTGTGTGTGTGTGTGCTCAGTGATGTATTTAGTAATAATGGTAGGATAGAGAAAATATCAACAAAAACTTGACATTCATTTAGGAGGTTCTAGTGATTATACAAATGAAATATGAAAACTGTAAGATTGAAAAAGTATATTTATTCTTTAGATGAAAACACCTTTACTTGTACTAGTCAGAGTTTGATTCAGACTGACTGTAAGTTTATAGACAAATATTCAATAAAAGTATTTCATTACAAAACCTGGTTTTCTGTATACAATAGGCTTGTAACATTTACTAAAAGCTTGCTGATTTTCATGGAGATACACATAGTAAATTCAGAATTACAGTAAATGTTATTTCTCCAATATGGGATCATTCAATAAACTGATGCCATACACATAAGATTAATAGCATTAACTATACTTTGTTGTAGATATTTGCATAGCCTTTAGCAATTAACCTAGGGCTTTTCAAACCAGCTTGCCCAAAATACCTACATTCTTAGCAAAATTATATGTAAAGCAATCATGGTGTTTTAATGTTCAGGAGTACACTGGAAAGGTATAAAGTTTTTTTTTTATTTTCATGTTTAGTGTAACTTACTGTGCACTAAGCTGTGAAGAACTTGTGTGCTACAGCATAGATTCTCAAAAATACATAAAATGCCTAATTCTTTACCAGTTTTGGTATTGCACATTTACATTGTGTTCGTGAAATATAATTAAATGGTGAAAGAAAACATTGTCACATCATGTCTTAATTCAGTAAAAATTAGTTTTTGAAAGATGTAGTTTTTTGCTATTGCTATTCTTACATTTTCAGTTTATACAGCTTAATATGTGCTAATTATACTTGTACAAGGTCCCCAAAAGTGTTCTGTTTTAAGAATGACTAAAAAAATTATGAATAACAAATATTTTTATTTCTTGCTTTTGAAGTTCATATATCATGCTGTATTGTAGCCTACTGGGTGCATAATTCTTCTCGTGATTCATGCCAGCTACATGTTTTACTGATGTCACAACAGTACAAATTGCAACTTTAAGCATCCCTTATACGACGTCATTTTAATGTTTACTGACTGACAGATAACACAGTACTGTATAGTGGTTTAAACAGGTGACCCCTTCAGGTTGCTTTCGACTCTTTTTCAGGGAAATATATGTATATATGTTTAAACACAACATTTTCCAGCTGCTTGAGTACAGAAACTTGTTTCAATTATTGAATGCTTAAATTAAGACTTATTTTCATAATACTAGTTTAATGTTTAATAATATTGTTTAAATTTTCTTGTTGAACTTTGTGTTTTGATCAATTGGTTAATTTTATTATCTTAAGTTGATATTGCATATTTTACCTGTATTTGAATATTAATTTACAAATGTAAACAACTATATGTAGTTAGATATTTATGTGATTATTTTTTTTTAAACACTTTCAGCTGGTTTTTTGGCAAGATATCCCGGAAAGATGCTGAAAAGCTTTTGTTACTGCCTTCAAACCCTCGAGGAACTTTTCTTATTCGAAACAGTGAACAGACATCAGGTAGTAGTAACTGTCTGATTAGTTTGCTAGAAATGTGCTGTACAGTGTCTGCTATGTGTCATAAACTGGCAGCCATGCATTCCAAAAACCATTTTTTGTGTGTTTCATGTTATCGTTATTGTTGTGAGCTGCTTCAGAATTTTGTTTTTCTTTCTGTTTTTATATTGATTAAATATTTTTTTAATGATGCAAGTATGATATACTGTATACCTGTTGCTTTATTTTCATTTATAAATTGTTCATGTATTCTCCATAGCTTGATGGAAAAAAAATCTTTAACAGCTTGAAAAAATGAAAGTTAGATAAATTATATTTAAGTAAATTTTTATGTATTCTAAAAGATAAAAAAAAGCACAGGGAAATATTTTATTATACATTAGCCTAGATGTGTTTGCCAGCATAGATGTCTGAAACAATGGATATTGAAGGTTTAATTAGTCGAGCATTCTTGAGATATCTCACCTTGAATTCAAGTAAACTCGGGAAATACGTTTTAAGTAATTACAAAAACCACGTTATGAAATTATATACGTTTATATAATTTTGATATTGTTCTGAATTTCATATGTTTTAATCATTATATCTGAAACTAATTTGTATTAAAAACAACAATGCTAATATTATTAAATTCAAAATTTGCATAAATGTCAGTTCTGAAAGAAAAGAAAAAGTGTGAAATATTGTGTAGATTGTACTTGGCAGTATAAACTATGTTAGTGTTTAAGTTTCTTCAAAGCAAATTTTTTTGTACCTAGTGTATTTCATGTTTTTTATAAATTGTGATTTTCAGGTGCTTACTCGTTATCTGTTCGAGACTGGGAGCATCAGAAGGGAGAACATGTGAAGCATTACAAAATCAAAGCAATGGACAATGGAGGTTATTATGTTACAACAAGGAGAACTTTTCCAACACTGCAAGATCTGATAAAGTATTATTCAGGTATTTTTTTTAATTTTATTTGAATATTTTATGATTTTATAACATTTTGTTATTAAAATTATTAAAAGACCCAAGATTTCAAAGTATTCTGTAACTGAGAAATTTTAGTGTGAATGTTTTATATTTTTCGTAAATTACCATTTAAGGTGTAGGTGCATTTGATCTTTTGATCAATATATATATATATATAAAGACTTGCCGTTAACAAACACCCCTATTAACCTTATCGACAAGGGTCAAATACCATGTCATTGCATTTGTTGACTTGCATTCAAAATTTTATTGAACTTCTATTTTATAAATTTATGTGAAGAAGTTTGGTATAAAATTGTAGATTATAATTCAAATTTTAGTATTATACATTAGTTAATTTCTTAACCTAAATATTGATTTTTTGTGTGTCACGAGGTATGTTGAATGCAGCACTGGTTCAAATTAGATGTTTGTGATGTCCAAATACAAAGTCTATAGTTTCTTACGAATTAGGAACTTGTATTACCGATATTGACAAGCTACAATATCAAATGATTATTATATATATATAATATATTATAACTGAAATGACTTTATTTAACAAAATACTAGTCCATTAAAACACGGCCAGGACAGGTCACTTTGTAAAGCCTAAAGACCAGTTTTATATTCTTAGATACAGTAACACAAGTGCCTGAGCACTGTGTCATTGCAACTTTTGTAATGTTAGCCAGGGGCACGGCTGGAAGATCAATATAAAAATAATGATATATGCATATATATATAAATGTATATTATTATGAGATTTAAGCTATTTTGACTAAACATTTATGTTTTTGTGTCATAATTTGTAGTCATTCTAGAAAGAAAAAAGCATAATTTATATTTATTTCCTAATTTTTTATGGTGGTTACAAAATTGGTCAAATCGACTGCACCCGTACAAAGATTTGTTATTGAAAATAACATAAAATATGAAGCTTTTTCTTAAGAAATATTTGATAACTATCAGGATGTTATAGACTTCACATGTGAAATTTGAAAATTTTCTAATGCATAAAAGTATTTTTAATCTTAAAATCAAAATTACTTTGCATGTTGGATAGTCAACATGCGAAAAGAAAAAAGGCATAAGAAAAATATTACTTAAAAAATCTTAAAACTTTATAAAAAAAAATCTGACATGTTGTGTACAAAAGCCTTGTAAAGTTTACAGATACTCTGAAAAATTTGTGAAGATACGCTTATTAGTTTAAAAAGTATAGCTTGAAAACTATATCAAGCGCAAAATGGTTATGATGTCAGTCCAGTCGACCGAGCCAATGCTGAAAGAGTTAAAGGAAAACAAAAGTAAGCAACAAATCCTTCTCTATGATTAAGCTGTATATACATAATTACTGAATCAGTCAAATATTACAAATGTTCAAAGTGTTCACCACTGTTATCAATGCATGTGAATTGTCAATAAACAATTGATATGCATCTTTTCCTGCACATTTGGATAGAGATTACTGTGGTCCCTCCCCCTGTTTGTGTGTGTGTGTGTTTATATGTGTATATATATAGCATAAAAATGTTAGATTACTATAAACTTGCATGAACTGATAGATTTTTATTGTAAGGGTAGTTTCTCTGAATTCCAGATTAATAATTGTAACCAGTATTCTTAATCCATTAATACTTGTGTGTGTGTTATTTCTCTACAGAGGCTGCTAATGGTCTTTGTCACAAGCTTACTATGCCATGCCCAAAGCCCAAGCCTCAAGTTTGGGACCTCTCTCCAGAAACGCGGGATGAATGGGAAATACCAAGAAATTCCTTGCAATTACTTAAGAAGCTAGGCAGTGGTAATTTTGGTGAAGTATGGTATGGTAAGTTTTCCAAATATGTGCAAAATTGACTTTTTCCAGTGATAAAGGTGTAGAAGGAGATTAGTAGGTAAATTCAATGGTTCTTATAGGGTGTCTGTATCTAGAAATAAGTTATTAAAAATTCCAGCTCAGCCTGTCACAACCAAAAATTAATAGTAGCTTGATAAGAATTTATTTCACTGTTTGTATAAAGAATAAGTTTTCTTCTGATACATCATACATGAGCAGTGTTATAAATAGTTTTTTTTTCAGTTCTTCCACTTTCTTCGCTCCTCATTGTCATAACTCCTGCTACCAACATTCCTATGTATAGCAGTGTGTGGCCAGAATTTCTTTTCTACTTTCACACAGATATTGTGGCAATGTATTGTGGTTGTATTATCTACAAACTGTATAATTTAATTTAATTCTCACATTGCTTACAAATTATTGTGTGTTGTTTTTATGAATAGTTTCATAGATGTATTTTTTTTTTACTTGTACATTTTTTCAACTGGATTTTGTTTCCAGAAACTGAGAGGCAATATTGTAATTGCCTAGAATACAAGCACAATAAGTCTGCAAATTTATCAAAAAGAAGCTTGGAAGTCACTTTTAAAAGTGTAAAAAAAATAATGATACTTCAATCTTACTTGCAATCTTACCCATAAGTTAAGAACAGCCTGGCATGGCCAGGTGGTTAGGGAGCTCAACTCGCAATCTGAGGGTCGCGGGTTCAAATCCCCTTCCCACCAAACATGCTTGCCCTTTCAGCCATGGGGGTGTTATAATGTGACGGTCAATCCCACTATTTGTTGGTAAAAGAGTAGCCCAAGAGTTGGTGGTGGGTGGTGATGACTAGTAGCCTTCCCTCTAGTCTTACACTGCTAAATTAGGGACGGCTAGTGCAGATACCCCTCGTGTAGCTTTGCGCGAAATTCAAAACAAACAAACAAGTTAAGAACATTGGAAATATAATTGGTATGGTAAGAGTAATAATTATGGAGAAAGAAAGGCTGCTTAGAACACTTGAGAGCCCTGCACAAAGCAAAGATCAGTGAATAAACAATTGGCAATTTGTTGGCAATAGGGAATGATTGATTATTTGCTTAGGCTTATTTTTGTTTACTTCTTCACATGCAATCTGTAGACATGGACACTGGCTCTGAAAGAACATACCTTGTACTAAAACCTTTTTATTCACTTGGACGATTTGGTAACTAACTGATTATTGAGAATTACTTAAATATCAATTTCCTACATAAATCAGTAAAAATGTTCAATTTAAAATAATTCAGTAAGTTGTTAATTTGAAATCTACAACACCATCTATATGTAACAAAAAGAAAATGTAAATAATAAGGGGAAAAAATTAAAACGTCATTTCATCACCTGATCCATAATTTTGATAGAGATGCAAAAATTCTTCATTTAATGATAAAGTAAATAAGATGAGAGGGAGTAGAAAGATACAGGGCTAATTAAGTAATAATAATCACTGTCTGCTTTATGTTTCTACCAGTTTCATACATGGTATTTTGGCTATGTTTTTCTTGGTTTCTTATTGTAATATTAGTCCCACTTTAATAGTATATTGTTATATACTATGTACCTCTTTTTAAGTCCCCCAGAAAATCAGAGGTTGAAATACCATTTGTCTTAACAATAACTTGGATCCAGTGTGGCATAGATTCCACAATATGCTGGAAGGTGTTCATGTTCAATTGTGGTCTGTACTTCAAGGAGGTTGGCCTGTAGTTAACTCGGAAATATCAACAGATAGTGATGGTGGCAATCCTTAAATGCATTTCATAGTAGCCTAACCAAATTTGATGAGGTTGCTGGCCAAAGAAGATTACTGTTGTGCTTTCCAATCCAGTTTTGTACAATAGGAGCACAGTGAATTATTATTTTGGTAGAACCCTTGTTTGTAAAGTTGGAAATGCATCATAATGGGTTGAACTTGATTGTCAACAATGTTCAGATACACTGGATGTTATTCATCATTTTAAAGTAATCAAAAAGTGTAACTCCTTCCAAGAAAACATTCCCCATACAAATACATCACTTACTTTAGCTTGCAATGTTGGAACAGTACAAACAGAGTCAAATGCTTTATTTGGTTTTTCCATTATTAGTAATCTAGCATCAGTACAATAAACGGTGATGAAATATAACTCATCAGACCACACCACATGCTTGTAACCATTGACTGCCCACAGTTTACTCTCCAAGTGTCATTTAAGCCATGCTTTCCTCTTTCCAGAGGAAAATGTTTGTAATATTCTTTACATGTATGTTTGGTGGTAGTCAAGTTCCGACTAGAAGTTATCAGTAAACATTTTAGCATTTTATAAACCCATCCTGTCATCTTTTCCCTTTTCATTCACCGGTTTTCATACTGGCAGGCATATTCCCTTTCACTTGCCGAAGAGATCTTTACACTTACTCATTATTTTTTACACCAAGCATGATATAATTATATCTCTTTATTTATAATGCTCAAACATTCAGCTGTCACCTCACATTATCAGAGTATTTTGAACTTGCAAGTTAATGGAGTGCTGTACAGATTTCTGTGTGTTTGTAAGGTACATTAACTCTTTATTTTGTGCTTGTTATAGTTTTAAATTAGTAAGCGAATGTTAACAAAATTTAGCAGATTATGAGTAAACATTACAATGCTTTCATATGCAAAATATAATTTTTTTTTATTAAGTCTTAAGGTTTATAAAGTAATGTTTTCTCATGTCTATTTTTTTTTTTTTTTGTCATGTTGCATATCTATCATGCAAAGTAATATTCATTTTAAGGTTAAAAATATTTT